TGTCGGGAAAAGTGCACGCGACAATCCTGAAAGGCATTGTGGGTGGTTTTAAGTTGTCTTTTTTTCAAAGAAATTTGAACGAATTGGCACGAAAGGCCATGGAAATGTGTTTGCGAGTGCTAAAGGAAAGCAACAAAAGTAGGTTCGACAGCTACAATCGTCAGGAACATTGTATTGATCATATCCCATATTACCTTGCGGGATTGTCGCGTGCACACTTTTTCCGACAACCTTTCTCGAAATAGCTGTATAACAGTTTCAAAATATCACTTGTGGTATTTATGCCAAATATCACTACAAATCATGCTATTACCTATACTAATTTAAATGGCTCTACTTTTTTACACTATACAGTATTCAGTTTCTAACGTTCCAAAAGATATGTGGGCAAGATGTAAGCCTCAAATAAAATTATACAATCTGGTAAGCTCCTTGCATGTAACAATAATTTTGAATTCACGTGCAGTATTAAAATAACACACACGGTTGAAGGGAAGAGTAGCATAAGGCCTCAGGGTGTTTGCTGATCACCCTGGGTACTTATTCCACACTTTTGATTTAATTCACAAACAAGTACAAGCAAGGGCCAGAGTCACGCAATGCTCCCCACCCCTGTATGGAGAGTGTTGCGTGACTCTGGCCGGACCAGCTGTGAAGGTGACTAGCTGAAAGGAGAATCTAACTCTTTTTTAGAATTCACTTGAGGCTCTTTGCTAGTCACCTCGTTAAATTGTAAAATGATTATCCTCGCTTGTTCATAGCTAAGGAATGGATAAGAACAGAAAAGATGAACATAAATGGAGATTCTTTTAAATAGCCAGAAAAAATTAAAATGATATTTCAATGAGTGAGATACAAGGCCGATTTGCAAGAAGGGGATATAAAGGTATTTTCCTCTTGAAAGGAAACGTTTTTCTTGGCTTTCATGTCACCTCAGCTAGCAGCTTTTTTCCCCTGTGCTCGCCGTTTCGGTGCACTCTCCACAAAAAAAAGTTCATGAAATAAAGTCTCTTCTCTTAAAAACAGGGCAGTGAAATGAGCGATTTTGCCTTGAACAGGGTCCCGGTTTGAAGGTCTCGGGGGCCTGACACCTCTCCTCAAACTTCCTCTGTGAGCCCTTTTCCTCTCCCCACCCCCACCCCGGGAGCGGACACTTCGAAGTTTCGCCAATACTGCCTTCTTCAGGGATGACAAATCAGCCTAAATGGAGAATATAGTATCCTTAATCAAACAAATGTTCCTATTTGGACTGGCTATCGATTGGACCCTCAAGCGTCCCAGGCACATGCGTTTACAGAAGTGAGCCGCGAAAGAACCCAGTGAGTTTTATACCGTATATGGACGTCTGAACGCGTTTGGTTTAGCGAATTAGCCGCGTGCGTGGCAGAAGCCCTTCTATCTCTCTTTTCAGCTCCCTCCCTTTGCCGTTTCCACGCATGCTACGAAGAATGGCGAATTGGCGTTGGACCTAGAAAAAATCTTCTTTCTCTCACCGTTTAAAAGGAGATAAAGAGAACGCGCGAGGACGTGGAAAATTTCCCGCCAGCTGTATGACGAAATGAAGGCGTGGTCTCGACGGAAGATGCGGTTTTCTGTGCGCTTTGGCGTGTTTTGTTGGTCTTTGCTGCTATAGCTAGTTGATGAGAGAAACAAAGGATCACTTGTGCTGAACTCAACAAACAGTTTCATATTCTAATGTGTAGTCTAGTGGTCGTTGAGATAATAATCAGGAAGAACCCTTGTAAAGGTATCTTGTCAAAATAATGACTCGGACCAATCCGTTTTTCTTTTTTGTTTTTGATTTGAAACCTATAATTTGAAACTGGAATATTTAGGATTGCTGCTCTTTAATTAAGCTGGAATCTAAAGAAGTTCCAATTTTGGGTGTATGTGTTGCACTAGGTATAGACTTAAATATGAAATAGAGAATTGAGAGGAGTAACATTTTCTCCCATATACGCACGTGCGCCCGTGCGTACAGCTGAAATCTGGAATATATATATTCTTTATTTTTTGAAAGCATTTTTATCATTAAATCAGGATTATTGAAAAATCTTTCGCATTATATTGGTGTCTTTACCCGTCTGAAGGGTAGACGTCTCACCCTTTGCTTGCATTAAACCTCCTTGATTACCTCCATAAACATTGCACCTTACAGATGTGTATTAAACAACTAACTATTACATTTCCCTTCGTATAAAATTACTGAAAATGTCCTGCGGAGAATGCAGTAAATGGCATTTCAGAGCCCCTATTAAAATTTGAAAAATTTTCTAGGAGAGCATGCCCCCCCCGCCCCTCTTTCCGTGCGTACACACGTACACCTTCAAACCCTCACGCTACCCCCCTGAAACAGGTTGTAAGTAGCTTCCCTAGTTTCAGACCACCTGGCAAGCAACCCTTTTTTTTTATTTTAAAAATGAACTTCTTTGAGTTTGTCAGTGGAAGGTTCTTCTTCCCGCCAAAGAAAAAGAGCTGAAAACGAGAAATAAAAAATACAAATAATTGCTAACATTTGGGCTTCGAGCGCTTTTTTACGCGTTTAATGTGTGCATTCGATTATGGCGCAGTTCATGAGAGTACATTTGACGCCAAATTCGATAAAAACGCGGAGCGCTCCCCGTAATTTATAAACGTAAAGCTATAACGTAAATTTTGACTTGTTTTTGACATCGTTTACCAGAATAAATTAGTGCGTTTTTAACGAATACGGGTGGGTGCGAGTTGCAGTTTATAATAAAGAGTTTTCGACCCTCGCCCCTGAGAAACACAAAGTTTGGTGAGCCTGTTTTGAAATGCAAATGCCAAAAAAAGCCGAATACACACGGTGTTAGGTGATTGGCTGTTTAGAAATGAGCGTCAATGAGCGTCACATCGTTGGTGTCAGCTTACACGAACGAAACTCGAACGCGTTCTTTCACCTGCAACAATAGCTCAAACGCTGTAACTTCATTTTGTCGTAGTATGTCGGATTCAGGCGTCGAGCAAGAAATCAGATCTGACGCAACGGTGAGTCTAAGGTTTTAATCGGCGATTTAATAAGAAAAAACGCTTAGCTTTCGTTGAAATGTATTGTGGAAATGTGTTCTGTACAGCACTGCGGAGAAAGACAGCTGAACGCGTTCGCTGGCCGCAGCATGCATCTGACACCAGACATCTTACAGATATTCCGTTCGTTCGTTAGGTTGATCCTAAGAAGAAAGGAAAACCGAGGAAAGGGAGGCCAAGGAAAGCACTCGTACAGGTTTGCCATCTTTACCACCTTCACCGTCCGGTAGCTATTTTGTGTTGTTTTGCTTTCAATCGCGATTCGCCGTCGCGTTGAAAATGTAAAACGGTGCATTTTAGTATTAAAACTGGGTGACTTTGATCTGTATTTTTCCAGTTACACTAGCACGGGCGGCTCAGTTAGTATTTTTGTTTTCTGTATGATTGTTAACAATCGGATGATGTAATTTAGCACATGTATACACATGGTTTCGGTTTCAACTAATAAACGCAAACCGCCTTTCCCGTTACTTAATTTAAAGCCTATAACATCTTCAGAGAATTACGCTCAATAAAATCATTTGTTGTTTGCATAGAAGAATTTAAAAGTGGTAAAAAGGAGTAGTGACGGCCTTAAATTAAACGAGCTGTTTGTTAGCTACGGAATATTATTATAAATTCAAGTGACTTGGTATAATGTTTTTAGACAACTTCAGAGCACAGTTTAATGAGGCCCTCCCAGGGGGGGGCCCATGTTGCCCCTCTGAATTTTAAAACGTCACGTGTCGGTGTTTATAAATGCTTGTCGCTTATTTGTCGTCTTTGCCGTCACTGTCGCAATTTGGCCAAGGGAGGTTGTCTCTTGTTGCCATTTCATTTTACGCGCTGACGCGCTGTCGCTACTTTTTGGGCCATGTTGCTTGTCAGAATGTTTTTTTTGGGGGAATAATTTGACTAGTAGGGTCACCTCATTTACATATGCTTACTTACCAGTCAATAATACCTACTGATTTCCTCGTAACTGCATAAGTTGATCTAGTCAGAGTTTTGTACCTGTTGAATATTTTTAAACACAGTCGAGGAGTCGATTAGTACTATTTTTTATGCCAATCGGTTCCTGACAGTTAAACCTCCCTACTAATAAATAAAGACAAAGCACAAATATTGATGCTCAGCAAAGTGTCTGTACATAGGATGTGCTGTTTCAAAGAGGGTGCATGACCCCATGACCAGGTTTATGTTAAAGCTCAGAACTGTTGGATTTCCATAATTTGGAAAATAATGCTGCATAAAAGTTATGTAGTGTTATTTTCTTACCATATACCAGACGTACGGTAACTTATAGTTGTTGATGACATCAATGAAATCAATGAGTAATCAATAGATAATTGATGGGTAATTAGTTGATTATTACGCATTGATTATATCCGTTATTCAATGAGTCATCGACGGATAATCGATAGGCCACAACATTTTCATTCATTGATTCAGTCATTGATTGATTTTTTATTTATCGATTTAATCTCTTGGGTACGCATTTAAAGCCACACCAAATCGAAGATAAAGAAACAGACTTCTTTTACATAAATATCATGATACAAGCTTTATTTATTCATGATCTTTTACCCGGTAGACACTCTGCACTAGTGGGGTGCAGTTCTCAACAAAGACACAGACTCTCATAGCCAAGGGAGTAAGATAGATAACTCAACCTTCAGAACATTTCATTTTTGATGTTTCAGTTACTGTCAATCCATTAAATAAATTTGATTTGCAGTTCTGTTTTCGTCGTGATCTATATACATTGGTTTTCTTCATGCAAGTTCAATTCCTATTTGGCAATTATATTATGGTCAAGAACCATTTAACGTAAATTTTTATTGCAGGAGATAAGTTAAGAAAAAAATTGCTAGAAATAATTTTTATCACATGTACTGTAATCAATGACTAATCGATGGATAATCATTAGATAATCAATGAGTAATCGAACACATCAATAATTATTCATTGATGACATCAATGAGTAATCGATAGACCAGAAAATTTTTGGCCATCCATTAAGTCATCAATTACCAATTTGCAGGTCATAGCGAATAATCAATGACTAATCAGTTGATTACCCAATGATTACTCATTGATAACTCATTGATGTCATTCATCATCGATTAGTTGCATCTGGTACTTATCACAACACAACCCTCTAATTAACCAAATGTTATAATATTATTATAATAAAAGAGGGCCGAAAGAAACTGTAACTACGTAGTATGGGCCCATGGGACCCCAATTATTGGCCAATTCCTAGCATACCATATTTCCTCTAATAGTAGCCGTCCCTCAGTTAATCTCCTCTCTCGAATAATTGCCCTCCTTTAACAGAAATGTTTAGAATAATCGCATTCCTCAAGTAATATAATTGCCCTCGCCCACTCCTATAATCGCCATCTTCTGGCATCTGATCCAACAAAACTGATTGGCGAATCAAGCTCTGATGACGAGGATATTGACATTGAAAATTGATCAAGGAACCAAATTTGGAACACTTTAAAAGCCCGTTTCAAGGTCGTGATCAGGAAAATAATACAAAACATTTAGGACATGGCTTCCAGAGAGCAATATTTGAAATAATTAATTGCCTCCCTCAAATAATCGCCTCTATATTAATTTAGCCTTAACTACAAGCATCCACTGTGGGAGAACTTCCTGTAATGGCTTATATGGCCTAAAAATGGCATGTATTTTAGGTTTTGGGTGTAAAAGAATATGGGTATTGGGAAATCTGTCATCTAGGTAAATGGCGTTTATAATGTAACATTTTTAGGTTGATACTCTCCTGTAGTATTATTCATTAATGAGCTTTATATTTCATTTGGAGAGTTTAGGAAAGGGATGCAGTGTTCTTAATAAGTAGTTAATAATAAATAAAAATACAGATATAAAAATGAATCAAGAAATAGATAAATAATAAGGATTTGGAGGTAGTACTTCCACAAATTACTGGTTCTTCATCTGCTATTCCTGATCATTTTGGAGTTTTGAATTTTAGACTTCGAGAAGAAGGGAAAACTGGACTACAAGGAGAAAAATGTCTAGCAGTGGAAAGGAAACCAACAACAAAATCAACCCATAAATAAAGCACTGCCCTGGCACCCTTTCTCTTCAAGGGAGAAAGGGGTACCATTTTTCAGTGGAAGGTGTTTGAAAGGGCATTATCTCTATTACAGTTTGGTACTATTATTGTCTTTTGCTTGGTAAACACCCTCACAACCATATTTATAAAGTGTAGTCACTCTCTTTTAAAAACATAATATATCTGAAGAAAAGCAGGATACTTGGTGTATAAACAAGGTCAAACGCACTGCATTTTCTCAAAGGCTAGCTAGGGTACTATCCTGTATATAAATTATGTAGGTGAACTGGTGCAACTGTAAAATGGTTGCACCATGTGGTGAGCAAAGGATAGACATTCACTCCATGCATAATGTGATCACAATATTTAACAATTATTTCCTGAGCCTGAATGGGCTCTGAGTCAATAGCCCATGAGGCTGAAGGCCAAATGGGCTATTGACTCAGAGGCCATGGGGGCAAGAGGAATAATAAATTGTTTTAGTAAAATCCAACTAGTTGGTCAAAAATATTGAGAATAAAAAATTTTTTAGCTACTTAAAGCTAGACTTTAATCCTTTTTTGCTGCCAAAAAGCCCGCGCTTTTCGCTACTAGTGGGCTATAAAATATAGCCTAGTAGTAGCTCAACCAATCAGAACACAGCATTGATAATAGACCACTAGTTGGATTTTACTAAAATTAATTTTATTATTTCTTAGGCAAGTGACCTACCTACCACTCAGCAGTTAATGCCCCCCACAGCTGTACAGGCACCTTCACAGACAGTACCTCAAGGGGCACAGACAGTGGTGCAACCTTTACAAACCTTGTACCAGCCTCTTCAGGCAGTGCTTCATCCTCAGCAAACAATTCTTCCTCCTCCACAACCAATGCCCCAGCCACCACAAACTGTACCCCAGCCCCCACATGCACTTCAGCCACAGCAGGCTCCACAGGTGCTACTGCAGCCACCTCAAACAGTTCTTCAGCCTCCCCCAGCTATACTTCAGCCTCCACAGGCAGTACTTCAGCACCCATCGGTACTCGTCCCTCAACCACCCAAGCCTGGTTTAAGTGAGAACAACCCGCCACCTTCTTCATTTGTCCAATTTTCTACATTTCCAAACACCTTTTCATCTCCAGTGTTGAACAGTGCCCTACAAGCACCCATTCAGCAGGCCGTTTCGACTTCCATGGCAAATACTAATTCCCAGACATCCACCATGAGCTTGCTTAATGCTCTGCATGATGAAAAGTTAGGTTTGCTCTTGCCTGTAATTGTGAGAATGGAACACAAAATGGATCAACTCATGGCTATGATGGGTCAAATGGGAAGCCAACTAAATTCCATTATCATGGGAAACCAATCAAATGTTTCGTTGACTGGACGACATGCAAATACGGGGATTATAGGAAGCCAATCAAATGCTCCAGTCATGGGAAACCAGTCAAATGCCGCTACGGTAGGAAAACAATCAAATGCGGTAGTGATGGGAAAACAATCAAATGCTGAAGTGGTGAGGAACCAATCAAATCTCGCCATAACAGGGAGCCAATCAGATGGGACTACAACCGGGAACCAACCAAATACTGCTATGGTTGGTAGCCAATCAAATGCCACAGTAACGGGAACTCAAAATAGTACTGCATTGAATATTAATGACCCAGTGAACAGTCATTTAGGGTCAAATAATAATGTGGACCTGACTCCATCAAATGCACGACAGGCTAACTCCGTAACTATCGAGGCGCAGGCAATTTACACGATGGACAGACCTCAATCAAATGTTCCTAGCAACGAAACATCGAGCGTCTTAAATGAATCGCCTACCCACATACAGACCAGAAGTCAACGAAACAAAGACAAAACGGGTAGTTCAAATTTACCAGCCTTTTACATGTCAAAGGAATATCTCACGGCTTTGAAAACAAAATCCACCTCCGCTAAGAATTTCGCCGTGCGGCTAATGCGAGAGCTGTTTACGAAGGTGGAACTTGAGGGAAAGAATATTTCAGGATCCCGAGGGAAAGATCAAGTAGATCCCGAAAGAATAAAAACGATTAAAGAACTTGTCTTTAAGATGTACAACACGTTACCCGAGGACATGGATTTAGAATGGAGAAATTGTCGGAAAGCTATGGACTCGTTTTTGCGCTCCAAGAAGCATAGAGAACTTGGAGAACAGCGCGCGCAACAAAATGCTGAATTGTTGAACTCGTTGTCAATGGGTACTCTTAACAGCGAGCAGACTGACGAGTAATGGGTATTGTTATTTTTTACCAACCCTTTTTGTCCCTAATACTGATTATGCGTCTTGTTTCTCCTTTATATAATGCCATTGCTCAATTATGCCAAAAGGTTATGAGAAGATAAAAATCGCCAAAGAAGAAGTATTTTAGTTTTTGGCAAAATCTTTTCGTCAATACCACAAGAAATGTTCAGAGAACAGTTTGATTATGTATGCTTGCATTAGGGTTTAATTAAAGGGTTGTTAATCCTCTAATGAACGCAGCCATACCGTTTCACTAAGTTAAAAAAAATATCCGCGATACTTCTTTTTCCCGTATTTTAGGTGAGCTGCTTGTATCAAGTTGTCCGCTTCATACAGGTTCGTTTTCCACCAAGAAAATATGGGAATAAATATCTACGTCCGTTTCCGCGTAATATAGGTTTACTGCACCCTCTTTAGCTGGGCGTGCCTGGCGCTACAGGGGAAAGGGAAAACCGAGCTCGTGAAAACGCTTTCCACGCACGCTACTTTGAGGGGCCTGATTACATGAGCCGTGTTAACCCTGTTTTCCGAGCTCGTTCAATTTACCGAGGGAACATTTATCCCGGTATTAAGCCATCTCAATACCGGGATCCCATCGAACCTGGCTGGCTTGGCTTTCGTACTTTTTGTTGCGTTTAATTAACGTGTCGCTATTTGGAAAAAGCCAGTCCGGCAAAACGGGTTTGACGTAACTGACTCTATTACAGTCTCCTGAGATCCTAATAGAACATGATCTCTTGACAGAGACTAATTCCCCGACAAAATAAATTGCTGACTTTTGACCGAAGTAAACTTTCGCTGTTACAGATCAAACTCCCGCTATCTAGGACGCTAACTCGAGGCTCCGAGGGTGTCCATAATATACGGAGGGTTCCTAACTTTACTACGCCTATTTGAAGTCCTTTAGAATATAAAATTTTCACAGTGAAACCTGTATTAAGGGCGCATCATATTAAGTCGACACAAACGGCGCTGAGTCATAAACGAGGCTTCCAATATTTTCTGGAAGACGAACCTTTATTTAGCGTATGCCAAGCATGGCTAGCGTGGGTATCTGCTTAAAAAAGTTTCTTCTGTAAGAACATCATAAGCATTTTTCTACTCCACGAAAAGGAGCATTCAGTTTTGCGTATTGATTACGTGTTTAATTTTTTAAACCTTCTTCGTGGTTTGTTACGTTATTGTTATCCAAAAATCTCTTTAATACTAGCTGGTCAGGGAGAGTCAAGTGTTGTAACCCACTTAATCTTATACTAGTTGTCGCTGTTGTGTAAGGGTTCATGACACAACCTTCGTTTTATTTTTAGCCTCATTGCACTCTTTCCTATAATATTGAACTTGTTCAGTTGGGTCATTCATTGCAAATTTTTATTGTAACTCAAATCTGGAATAGTTTCAATAAAAATATTCGTTATTTCCCATTTGTCTGGCTAGCCATCTGTAAGAATTAACTTGGAAGTGGAGAAAGCTTTGCTGTGTGTTATAGTCCCACATAGAAAAGAATGGATCTAATATCTTTTTCTTCTACCTTGGACAAACAATTTTCCCCGGTTTGGAAAATATCCTAATATTGTTTCTTGCCCAAAACACGTCATCAATTCCCCCCCCCCCCCCCCCCCCCCTCTACCC